TAACCCAGAGGACTACACAAAAGCCTATCTATGTTGCTTTGCTGCAACACAGCAACCAAGCTATTTGTTAGCTGTCCATTCAACCCACTGCTGATTTTACAGAGGTTCTGAGCACAGACAGCTAAATTTGAGGCCCACTATAAATCAGGGAACTGCAGAGCGAGAAATGAAGGTGCACGTAAGCACATGCATTGTACCAATATATACAAACAGTAGCTGAGGTGTGGCCTCTTAAATAATGAGTAGCCTTTCAGAGCAAGTCTGTGCTTACTGTGTACAAATAATCTTTCAAGATTTTCCCAATCCTTTTTTTTTTTTTTTTTTTTTTAATATATATATACATTAAGATACCAGAAAGCCAGATCACTGTTTTTAATTTGTGGATATTAAAAATGTATACAATAGGAACAAATTTCCTTCTCTAGGGGTACACTGAGACAGTCAATACCAAACTATGTCTAAAATTAAAGTCAACACCCTAAAAGAACAGCAACGCAGATGACTTAAGAAAAAGATAACAATGGGAACTGAGAGGTTTGAGGGACTAGGTAACTAATGAGAAAGCAAAACTGAAACCATTATCTTTAAACGTGTAAGATTCCCTGCTGATATTACAGACTTTTCCAGCGTGCCGACCTCAGCAAAATTAAATCTTCAGAAACCTAGATGCTATTATGATGCACGCCATAAACACATACATCTGTAACTCTACTCTCTTGGAGCAATATCTTATCACATCCCAAACATTACTTCATTGTGCCTTTGAGATGCACAGTAAACATGCATCTATTGTATACTTCACATCTGTGAGTCCTACTTGCCCACACATGCCCTAAACAGAGGCATAAGCAATTCTTCCTAAAAGCCAAACACTTTTTTTCAAACACTTCTGCAAGTCTGGGCATTATGTATTAATAATGAAAAAAATATCATGTGGCCACATGATTATTTCACTTTATTGCAAAATAAAGTAACAAACTGTAGACTTCCCATCCGGAGATTAGGACCACCTACCAGCCAATTTTTGCAAACAGATGCAATATACATATTAATTGGTTTTCCTCATTTCAAAGGTTTAGATTTAGATTACCCTAGGAGCCTTTCCAGATTTCAATTAGTCAAAACAGAAGTAGAGAAGAGGATGATGGGGGGCACTGGGCTTAGATCATTCTGGAAATACAGATCTCTTATCAACACTTTCAGGAAGAACAAGCCTTCTCCTCTCCAACTGCACACTAGGAACTCTGGTTCTTCTGCACAGAAACATCCAATAGAGGGAAAGCAGATCTCAAATCATAGCTCCCACAAAATATCCCAAAGAGGGATTCAGTGTAAGAAAGTACATGCTGAGCACTAAACCAGTACTCAGCTGTAGAACTTTTTTGTCCCCCCTTTAGTAACAAGCAGCAATAAAACTGATGGAGAACTTGGTGCTTGATAGCAGATGGTCCTCCAAAACACCACAAAAGCAGAAAAGAAATAACAGCAATGGACGACAACATATTGGGAGAATCAATTTAAAACTGTTTTCAAGCATCCTGTAGGGAACAAGGAAGAAAAAGAAGGATATGTACAGAAAGAATAAAAAGGCTGTATACTCTAAACTTACACTCAAATGACAAAGACAAGGGTAACATCATCTTCACGACAGTACTTTTTCCAAAAAAAAATCTGCCAGAATTGCAGTCCCATGTTTATGACCTTTATATACACCTAGTTTATAAGGAAACTGGTGTAACTGAACTATCCTGCTATACAGTAATTGGTGCATATACAACACTATCCTTTTAATTTATGAACACCACGCTTCCATTAAGAATAGAAGACAATTTTCTTGGGAACAGTTTCATATCCACCAAGGAATGCCTTTTGTTCAGCATTACGAAATTTCAGCATTTAGCAATTTAAATTACACCAGCAACAACAGAAAAAGCATATTCTATCTACAGGACACAGAGAGAATTGATAGAATCTGATAAGTTTCAGAAGAAATTTAGGGATTTATTCAGCTCTTTGTAATAATATTGTACAAATATTGCACAAATCCCTAGCTCGGGTCTGACATTCTAGGCCTATTCTACCTCCCAACAAGACTTTTTAATGCCTCTGATTGTGAACAGCTAGGAAGTGCATTATCTTGCTCTTGCCCCTTATTTTAAGCTTTGTAAAATAACCTTAAGAGGATATCTGTAAATAAACTACTGCAACATGAAGTAACCAGCTGTGGTACCCTTTCATTGAAGTCATTTTCATATCACAGTTCTAAACAGAAACTGTACTCAGTGATGAAAATGGAACATTCAGTGGACACCGAGAACTGGTAACATTTAAAGAGGGGGTTAAAAATAAAAACTGAAAATGACATATACCGGGTGGAAAAGATTGACATAACAAAGTGAAAAAAAAAATCTATAAACAAGTAAGTAACCACAGTAAGCCACACAGGAGGAAAAAAAAAAAAAACATGCACCTATAAGTAATTTCTGGCTTCTACCAAGCATTCCATTTTTAATATCTCTTTTTCACATACGCTGCACAACACTATGGCAAAATTAAATCCTACAGTAATCACACATACAATAAAAATGGGCTATTTGACATGTGGTGCACACTATGGAAACATTTAAAAAACTCACAAGCTAGAATTTAGGAGTCAGTATAGGAAATAGTTTTTGCTTCTGGAACTACTAGCTTAATCCCCTTTAAAAAGGAAACAAATCGACAAACTAAACCCTTAAAAGTCCCTCTTCAAAGAATTCTGAAAAGATTTGAAAAATGAACTTAGATTGTCATTCCACATTAAGCAACTATGCCAATTAATCAGGCCTAGCCCCTGTCCTTCTTAATCTACTTGTTCCCACCACAGTGATGCCAACAGAGCTGCCCGTTGTGTCACATGGTGAGGAACCAAAAGCAGCTGGGAAACGAGGTGGAAAAAAATGGGGAAAGGAGGGATGGCATTTTTCTGTCAGATCACTTCCCTGATCCATTTCACTGTGCAGCTGCAAAAACAGCTAGGTTAGCAAAACAAGCAGAATGGTATAAAGATACAAATAATGAACAATTAAGACATCATTGCCACTGAAGAAACAGACTTGCAATCTAAATGAAAACCATCACTTAAAAAGGTTCCTATGAATTTTGTTCAGTTCAATAAAAAAATTCTTAAGTAACCATTTGAGCAAACACAGGAGACAACACTGTTAAAACTACTGTTAAAGCCACTGCCCCCTAAAATGGGAAGTCCACATTAGAAACACCACCAACAAAACATTCACAGGAAAAATCTTAGTTCATGCTTAGTTTTCTGTACTAATCTGATATATATTCATAGGCAAGGATACAGCTGGCTTCATTTAATGCAACTATAGTAAGATGGTATATTCATAACAGCGAATATGACACAGTCACAAACAGAAAACAACTTTCTTCCTTTTCCCTATTTCGCAATGCTTCCTTCCCTTGTGTTGATGAGAACGGGGTGAACTGGAAATTCTGCTGGGGAATTCTATTAAAAATAATCCAAAACGTTGGTCTTAACCTCAATCAATTTCCTAATTTGGTCCATCACACAAGAGCTTGCTTCAAGCAAAGGACAGGAAACACAAGAAATAAACCACTCTGAGTAAAAAGAAAGGGAAAGCATTTCTTCCAGCAGCACTGCTACCTCATGTCATCTCAAAGCCTTCCTCAAACAACTGCCAAAGCCATATTACCTGCTATTACCAAAGCAGAAAAAAACAAAAACAAAAAAAAAAAAACAACTCATACCTCAACAGGTTATGATATCTACCATCACAGACATGATAAAATCAAGGATATCTGCACTCTGTACACAGCGTTTCATGCGGTCACTGAAAAACTGTTTCACACTTTTTTTACTTTACTTTTTAATCAGTATTTTTAGGGTCCTACTTGCCTGCCTCACTTAGAGCAACACACACAGAGCCACAACATTCATTTCTCAACATACATTTAAATAATTTCATAACACTTGTGTAACTTGAAGAGCACTCCCTTTAAAGTTTTGATAATGTTTTCTGTTTGTTTCATTAATGCTGTCAACTGAACACCAACCATGCTGAGTCACACCCCTATTTGTCAAAACTTATCAGAAAATCAAAACACATGTACATATTTTTAAACACTTCTCACTAGAGAAATCTGCCTGCACGTAATTACTGCTTTCTTCCAATAATTTAATGACTACAGTCAAGATTTTATATTCTTCAGCTATCGGTGGACAGTTCTAAGGGACTTCAATAACAAAACAGTCTGTTACATTTAGCCCCTCCCCACCGAAGTATCTCCTCTTTAAAGCCCCCCAAAAAGCTGCTACTAACTATTCAAATAAGGCATACAAGAATCATCTACTATGAGCTAAATCGACAAAGAAATGTAATCAACATCTTAAATAGGAGCAGATGTAAGAATTAATCAATTTCTAATCTCTTGAGACTACCTTTAAAAGCAACTCCAAATAAGTCGCTGATGTGAGGCAACTGATATGGCCTCTCTTCTCCTCCTTTATTCAAGGGTTTGTTTTGAACAGCTTTTGTGATCTACACCGTTCATCCTGCTCTAGCAACACAGATGAGTCAGGGGCCTGGGTCACACCATCTTCAGCTTAGCTTTATTCTTTCCACACACACTTCACATTTACTCTGGCTCACGCTTTTCATAGAGTCATGCTCACAGTGTCATTCTATGACCACACATTTCTTCCTGTATCATCTCCATTTAATTCTGCACCACACCACTTTATGAGAGCTTCCCTTTACTCCAGCACACACGTACTATACTCATTACTCTAGTTTTGGTGTCCAGTCTCATCTCTGTCAAAAAAACTCTTACTCTAATTGCAGCTACTTATACATCATTTAAGTGATGTTCCACTTGAGTTTATGAGAGCACTTCTATTGTTGGATTTTTCGTTTTTTTAATTGGTAAGAGAAGACAGTGAACATGTGAGAAATATGAATAGAACAAACTTTACTTACCTTGAAAATACCAACCCAGTCTTTCTGATGAGGATGGATAAACTGGGTCAGAGTGTAGTGACATTCAAGGTGTGTGTTTGGAAGATAGCTTTTCGCCACATTTTGAAAAATCACATGTGCAAAATTGGAAGTCTGTAAAGCATTAGCTGAAGATGGAACTTCTTGAAAGGATGACATGATTGATCTGCAACAAAAATCATGTAAGTTGTTACTTCAATATAGTGGAATGAAATCAGTTAGAAATCTATTTGAAATATACCAGACCGAGACAAACAAACAATTTGTTCTGTTCTGAGAACAGACAGCTATAGACCAAGCCCAACAAAATACATTGCCTCAGCTACACTCCAAAACAATCAGTTCTCAGAATGAAAGCACAGGCACTTTAGCGATGACATCAAGATGAGGAGAGCATCATTTAGTGAGACGTTCCTAGTATTGTATCACAGACAGAATATCAGAAAGTGGGAAATAAAAGTGGTGGGAAAACAAAGCAGGGTAAGGATGAAATGTCCTTAATGGTTCTGGATGCTTCAGGGAAGGAGAAACAAAGTTCTGTGGTTTCCCTTAACTTCAAACACTTCTCAGAATCTGTAATGCTCAGTACTTTTGACAGCATTTTCAAAAATGAAATTCTTGTTCCCCTCTCAGTGAAAATAACAAAGCTCCACTTTCTTGTTTGTTAAAATGTCTTTAAAGTTTAGTTAAAAAGCCTTTTTTTTCCCTCTTCTTCAAAAGATTCTGATCTCTTCTCTCTTTAGCAGTCTGTGGGCATCTTTTATTGTTCCCACTGTAACCCACATGTCCCCAGTCCTGCATGTTTACCATAAACAATGGACTACATTGACAGTGAGAACATTTATATCTGCATGCAGTCTGATGGATTAACGCTAATTCAGTTGGATTGTGAAAGCTTTTAAGCACCCTTTCTATTCACCACCTCATTCAGGATACATTGCGCTAAAAATTACAGCATTGCCAGAGGCTTCACAAGCACACCAAAAACGTTCATCTCTCAGATTGAGCAATATCTGTCAAAAAGATAGGTAACTGATAAGTTTCAGGTGCCTGATTTAAATCTACAACCACAAGTTTGTCAAAATGTTTTGTACTAGTTGGATTGGGGCCTTGGATATCTAGCATATTTCTAGAAAGAAGAGGCATCCTATTCTTGCCATTGCTATTAAAAGTTATTTTACACTGACAGAATGAGGTAACTGCCAAGCAAGTGACATAATACACCAGTTTTATTAAGATATATGTGGAAACCAATCCCAAAAAGGGACGGGCCACTGCAAGTCTCATGAAGTTCAAAGATTAAAGGCTGTCTGCATATTTCCCACAGCCTTTTAAATGTTGTTTTCAACAGTCAGGAAATAAGTAGCAAAGAACTCGTGTTTTCGGAAATAAAGCACACTCTGAAGCCAACAGGTATTCGTCACTCAGAACCAGCTTATTACTCTCCAAAACAGAGTGACACAAAGCACAAGTCAGCAGTTTTGTGCCCTGAATGACACAGCTATAAAGATTAAATGCCTAAATTCTTGCCTTTGGTCCTTTTGTATCTGTTAATTTTCACGAGAACTTACGCAAAAAAATAAGGTAAACAACAAAATATGTTTTTAAAAACAGCAAGTTTCACTCAAACCCCAGCTGTTACAGAACTTCTGAGTACAGAAGTGAAGGAAATTTTCCAGCATAGTAAAACCCTGAAAAGTCCCACAGTTTTCAAAACAGAAGATGGCACACGAGACACCTCACAAACCCATCCCAAACTAAAAAATGGTAAGAAGATTGAGCTTCTACAATTCCAAAAGAAACAAAACAGCCTTCAGTTTTGTTTTTTTTCATCAGGTGTAACAAATTCCTTCACTTTAGTAACTGAGCACTATCTGATGACATGTAAAATTTACAGAAGATCTGTTTATAAACAGATCTATATAAAACGGTAGATCTATTATGAGTACGCATTACGAAGAAGCAAGCGATAAATAAATAATTTTTTGGCGCAGTTGGCCTGGTTTCCAGGCCCGAAGCTGAACTACGGCGAACTTTAAGCCTGGGATTAGCGCTCCCCGTCAGGAAAATCCCCGGGGCCGAGGGGAGGCCGTCTCCTCGCGGCGGTGGGGATGCTGCCCGCCCGCTCACCTCACGGCGCCGGTGGGGAAAGAGGCGAGGAGGAGGAGGAGGAGGAGGAAGGGCCACGTTAGGGCTCCATCACTGCCATGACAAGCGATTTTCTGGCGGGGGCAGGCGGCCGCTGGCCTTTACACGCCGGCAGGAGGAAAAGCAGGTCGGGCAGGAAAAGCGCCGAAGCCGCAGCCCAGCTCCTCCCGGAGCCCCCAGCGCTGCCTGCCCACGCTCCCCACCCCTCCTCAGCCCTCGGGGACGGGGGGACCCCGCTGCTGCCTCCCTCCTCTGCCCCGTTCCCTCCCTGGGAGCCCCGGCACGGCTCCCCTCTCCCTCCCCCAGCCCCAGGCAGCCGCCGGGGGGGCGGCTTCCCGGTGGCGCAGCACGGCTGCCCGCTGCCCGGCCTCCCCCCTCCAGCCCGGCGGCCGGAGGGAGGCGGTGGGGAAGGGGTCGCCGAGCCGTGCCCTGCCCTCAGCCCGGCCCCCGCGGCTCCCCTCACCTCGGCAGGCGCGGAGGACGCCGGGGACATCAACATGGGGCCTCCGCCATCAGCGCCAAGCAGCTCCGCCCGCCCCGCGTCACTTCCAGCGCCGGCCCTGCCCCAGCCGGGGGCGGGGAAGCGGCCGCCTCAGCCCGGTGGGCAGAGTGGGGAGACCCTGCTGAGGCTGTAGGGCTCGTTACGGGGCTGTTGCTTTCATAAAACCCCTGCCCAAGCCCCCTCAATGCGTGAGGGTGGTTACAGCACGCCTCGTGTAATGCTGGCGAACCCCGATTCAGCCGTGTCGTCCTCCTCCATCCCGCTCCCAAAACACTGAGCACCTTGTGTCGATGTCCCGCTGTCTCCCACTCTTTGCGGGTCTTTCCTGGGACCTGCAAGGCGTGCAGCCGAGGGAAGAGTGAGGTGGAGAGTGGTTGTAAATGCATACACGGTTCTGCTTGCGCAAACTGGTAAAGCCCCGTTAAAGCACGTCACCTCATAAATGCGCTGATTCTGCCAGGTTTTTATACAAAGTCGAGTTGTAGGACATTCACCAGAACAAAGGGGCTGAGTAACAACCAGCAGGGATGAGTAATTGCCAGTAGCACGCTGGACGTGTCCCAGTACGCTGAGCTTGGACGGCTCCCGCAAATGGTCTTCAAAGTCACCTTTGCCTCTTTACTGCTGCTGTTTCTTCTGTATTTTCATTGGTATTATCAGTGAACAGGCCATGTTTAGGTCATAAACCTATGACTTAAGTTGTTGACAAGATCACGGGCTTGTTTATGGTCACTCCTGATGGAAATGAAACCAAAGTGGAGTATAGAAGCTCCCCTTTCAAGTAATGAAGGTTAATGGCTGAACATGCTTCTACTTTGCACTTCTCGTTTCAGAAACCAACCTTACGTCTTCATGTGTACCACAGGTTATTAGGTAACCATTTGATTTAGGTACATAATAATTTCTTATACTATTCATATATTCCATTTTCCCTGGAAAGCAATAAATTCCCTGCATTATATACTAATAAATTGTTTTATAAGACATAAGAAGTGTGCGTGAAGTCCTTTTTCTCCTTTAAGACCAGACGAAATTTTGTAGTGGCAAACGAAATTGGTATGATAATCTGAAAAGCAATAAATTTTTCTGGGGAGGTGGAGAGAGCTATACTTTCTTATCTCTAGCTTCCATTTCTTCTCGTCACTGCCCTTTGCACCACATGGCATGATAAAGGGCTGTGTAAGAGTCACAAGATGCTGTTCTCTTGTGGGCTGGGACTTGGAAAGAGCTTCAGTTTCATTGTCGGTAGCTGGGAAATATAAATGTTGATGAGACTAACAAGTAGTTTTGCTTTCACTGAACATCATTTGTAATGCTAGTTTATGGAATATAGTGGGAGGTTTGAAATAAAGGTGTTCTTTGGCAGCTGACAATTTTTACAGTAAATGCCTGAAAAAAAAAATCCTTGGTTTCTTAATAAAATATATATATATATACAATTCTGAGTTTTAAAGAATCTTGAGGTATTTCTGTGCTCAGTTCATAAATATTTATTCAGTCAAAAGAACTAGTTATGGCTTAGTCATAATTCAATATTAAGTTATTATTTTTATTGCTAAATGTGTCTATACGAGTCAAAACGAACTACATATTACAGTTATCACATGTACAAGGTAAATATTAAGGGTAATAAGTTGAGAATAATTTTGTCTTTTCTTGTAATTGTCCACAATTTTCAGGGAAAAAATGCATTTAACTCTGTACCTTAACTACATAAGTCTGGAAATGTTTAATTATTCAAATTAAGAACATTTCTTACTGAAATGAAACTATGAAAAGCATTCTCATTTACATATTTGTATCCTAAGTTTAGATAGCAGTCTTGTCCCTGTAGGAGCTTTGACTGTGTCTCATGTTGAGTTTTTTCTCATGTTTTTTTTTTTTGCTACTTTGAGAATTGAAGGACTTTACCCACATTTTCAAGGCTATACACCGTGACCCCAAGATCAACATTAGGCTTGTACTGGTACAAAGAAAGATTTGGACAACAAAAATTGTGGTTGGAACTGGTAAAACTTGCACTTGGTCTTTCCATTAATGCTTGAGTGCTTTAATCAATCTGAATACTCCAGGCAGGGATTGTAAGGTACTATTTCCTGAAATTTATCCATGAATTCATCCATAAAACTTTGGGAAAACTTGCACTTGAGTCGAAAAACAATGTTATTTTTCTGTTTTTGCTCATATTCTTTGCAAAATATTTAATATCTTAGAACACAAAGTCAGATACCAGCATTTCTGGTGAATGCCTAGTCATGTGAGACTCTCTAACACTAATACTCTAATTCAATTAGAAAAGCTTGTTACGGGTAAGATGACAATAATCCTATCTCCTTCTGACTAGACTTCCACCTTTCCAACCATGTGGACTTCAAGGAGAATACAGGAAATTGTTGTCATTCAAGACAGTATTTTCCAACAAATTACAGGCTTGTCATGTATACCAGAATTGTACTCTAAGCATGTAGAAACATTGTTTAGCCAACCTTTTTTTTTTTTTTAAGGAAGA